CTAGGTTGGACATCTCAAACATCTCCTCAAGCTGTCCTTTGAATTCTTCCATTTTGCATCGATCGTTTCCTGTCACCAGTATATCATCCACATAAATGGCAGTGATCAGTCTCCTATCATTTTCATCGTGTTTTGCATATAGCACTATTTCTGTCTTACTCTTTTCAAATCCATAACACAGTAGGTATTTGTCCAGCTTCTGGTACCAAGCTCGTGGAACTTGCTTAAGGCCATACAAAGCCTTATGTAGCAGATAAACATGATCCTCTTTTCCCTCAACTATGAATTCTTCCGGTTGATCAACATAAATCTCTTCTTGGAGATCACCGTTTAGGAAGGTAGACTTGATGTTCAGGTGCATAACCTGCCACTAGGAATGCACTGCTACTGCCAGGATCATTCTGATGGTTTCGTGTCTTGCAACTGGAGCGAAGGTGTCCCCAAGGTCAATTCCCGCAGTTTGGGCATATCCCTTCACCACCAGCCTAACTTTGTGCCGATTTACAGAGCCATTGGAGTTCAACTTGAGTCTGTAAATCCACTTGACACCAATTATCTTCTTGTCTTCAGGCTTAGGGACCAAAGTCTAAGTTTTGTTTTTTGTGATCATAGCAATTTCCTCCATCATAGCATCCTTCCAAGAGGAATATGTGGCTGCTTCTTGATAGGTTGCTGGTTCTTTGAAGGTAAAATTGCATGATTCGTATATCTTAGAGAGACTTCTCATCCTAACTCCATCAGCACTTTCATCATTTCCAACTTCCTCATCATTTTCCAACTCAGAGGGGAATGAAGCTGGTACAGGTTCATCTCCTCCTGTCACCAGCTTCCCTACCTCATCACGTTCTATTTTTTCTTCTGCCCAATTCTAGTGTGAGTCTTTATCTATCACAACATCTCTCCTAATCATAAGTTTTTTGGAGCTCAACATATATGCTCGGTACCCCTTTGTCTCTATACTATAGCCTAGAAAAATTCCAGGCTCTCACTTGTCATCTAACTTTCTTCTTCTTTCATTAGGAACTAGGCTGTAGCAAACAGAGCCAAAGATCCTGATGAGAATAGTCTCGGGTTTCTCGCCATGTCAAGCTTAATATGTTCTGTATGTTGTTGTGAATAATATTTTATGAAAAGCTCAAAGTACTTAACTGTTTGATTGTTGTAGCTTGGAAGCAAATTAGTGTTTGTTTTTATCCCTTGCAGTTTGTTTGCTCAGAATTATCATGTGTAATGTGTTCTATGATTTCAGAACTTGCGTTTGCATTTGTATATCGAGAAGTTCTTAGATCCACTCCCTCAACAGAAGGTGTTGCTGCAAAAAGAAAAGCAGGTATAGTCAGCACAAAGGCCACGTTGATTGTTTTGTTCTTAATTTGTAAGTCTTTTACTCAGCAAGCAAAGAGCTTTTTGCATCTAGATTATAAAGATATTGGTTTATTTCAAAAAGAAAAAAAAGTATTATAAAGATATTGGAGATATCTCTTAGTTTTGGCAGTGATTACAGGAGTTCAATTGCTTCGATGGTGGTTGGAATCCATGTGACCTGTTAGGTTATTTCATTTTAACATTTTATTTTTATTTTTATAGTTTATTGTCATTTCTTATTATTGTATTCTTATCTTTTCATTAAATAGAGGTTTCTTGGGCACATTTTTGGATCATTGCCCTATCAACGTCAGTTAACTTCTGATGAACAGTGAATCGTATCATGCTGTAGAAGTAGTAGTCATGGTGATCTACCGAACTATGGCATTCAGGGGCTTTTTACTGCAAAGCTTGATAAAAGCTCAACATAGATCCAATATAATGGGCTACCTAACTCTAATTCGTGTTATTTTGTCAAGCTTAACGTGCTAAAAAACCTTAATGATTGGGAGATCAGTGAATATGAGAATCTCGTAGGTACCTTGTCTATCATTCTGTTGGATGGTATAAATGATCAACCACGACGGAGTCTCACTAATACAGGATCATTTTCTGTCAAATCCTTTTATAAGCATCTGACTAAGCAGGAAGACGATGGTACCAAGTTCCCTTTTAGACAGACATGGAAGGTTAAAGTTCCTCCTGTAATGTCTTCTGTGCGCGGGAGGCTGTAAAGGATTGCATCCTGACCATTGACAAATTGATGAGAAGCAGGAGTGACTATGGTAAATAGATGTTACATGTGTGAAAGTGATGTGGAAACTTCTAGTCGTATTCTTTTATGGTGTCTAGTAAGGTACAAGTTACGGTTGAAATTTTATGATTTATTGGGTATCAATTGATGATGGTGGGTATGGTCAGAGAGGGGAGAGCATCAGCTGGCGGAGGAAATTTGTGGACCTTATTCCACCTACCATTTTCTAGGTAATATGGAAGGAGAGAAATAGAAGAACTCTTGAGGGGGTTGTTGATATAAGGGATTTTGATAGGATTAGGAACAAATGATTCTAGACCTGTAACTTTTTGGTTTTGCATCGTCCTCTCTGTTCTATGAAGGATTTGAGGGACCTTGTTGATATTTTGGTAGAGATATAAATAATCAATATACGAGTTAACATCCTCTTGAAACCTGTTAATATAATTCATAATTTTTATTCAAAAAAAATTGTGTTATTTTGGTACTTGAATTGTATTTATGCTCATTTTGGATTGTCGAAGGAGTTATGATGGTTCTTTTCTCTTAGATAGATGGTTGTCATGTTTTATTAGCCAATCACTGGACAATTTATTTTGCATTTATTATTTGTTACAAGATTCAGCGGTTATCATGTCAGGATAATATCTTACAATTTTCTCGTATCTTATTGTCATGTTGTTATATTGTTGGATTAGAAGAACTATTGTTTGAAAATCTTAATATATTTCATATTCTGCACAGAGGACTTTGCCTCTGA